ATCTAGTGAACCAATTCACTATTCTATTTTCTGGTAATCTGATTTCTGATTTTGGTTTTTTTTTTTTGTTTTTGTTTTTTTTATTGAATTGAGAAAAGATAAAGAAGAAGATGAATTGTAGATGGAAGGATCTAAACCCGCTCTGATACTGTGATAAAATCAAGGAGGGGAAGGCTCTAATTAACGACAGAAATAAAGGAAAGAAATGACAGAAGAAAACAGGAGATAAACCTGCTGAAATTACAGCTGGGAAGAAGATGAAAACACATTCAACTTGCTTGAGGGAATTACAATGCAAACTAATCTATTTATAGAGCAAATAGTTAACAATTATGCAACAAACTAACAAGATAACTAACATAAAAAGGAACTAAAATATGCTAGAAGAAGGAGCTGAATTCTGGTGAACTGGTTTGCTGCTGTTGAACGTATGCTTCTGGTTTTGCTGAACTGGGCTGCTGGGCTGCTGATCTGGTGTTGGGCTGATGGTGTTGCTGTTGGGCTGATTTGGGCTGGAGAATATTCCAACAGTAACCTTCGATCTAGAGTGCAGCAAAAGGATCATCGGCCAATTTGATTTGTGGGCTTGGAGTCTTATTGGTGTTTGAAGCAAAGGGAGTAGGAGAGCTGAAAAGACCTTGAACGGCAGACTTAACCTTGTTGACACGCTTGCGGTGGTGGCGAATACGACGGAGAACGACATTCTTGTCAAGTGTATCATGTGTGTGGCACGGTTTCAAGTACAAATGAGTGGTGATGCTAGGGTTTTCACTTTCTTCTTCCTCGTTGTCATCTTGTTTCTCGTTTTTAGTTTCTGAAATACTAGATAGATCTTTTCTTGATACTGAAGAACACATAAATGTGGTTGAATGAAAATGGAAATTAAGGGTGTGACTTGTGAGGATTATTGAGAAGGATAAGGGTTCTTATATAGAGAGCTTGAGCATTACATTAGATTCTCGTAGGATTGTGGATTCCCATGAAGACTTTGAAACATTTATAATGTTTTATGCCATTCGATCTTATCATCTTGTTTTAGATGGAATCTTGTCTCATCTACTAATTAATTTATTCAAGGGAAATTGGTGATCGGGTTCATCAAACTTTCTGATTTATAGCAGATGGATTTCCGTTATTTTTTATTTCTGATAAGTGGCAGCATCCTGTGCATTTGTGTGTGTGTGTATTTTTTTTTTCCACATTTGAATCTGTGTTGTCTATTTCAAATTTCTGTGCCAATTCTGTACAAATTTCTTGTACTTGTAGACTGATTCTTAATTTAGGTGGTGTTATTAGATGGAAACTGTAAAATATTCCTTCAACTAGTCATTTGTTCTCCATGCGTTCATTATGTTAGGGACATGGCAGCGTTCAAGATCATTCATTGCTGTTTACCCTAAACACAATCATGGCTGATCCTAAGCTATGCAATAGATTAATGATAGACATGGAGACTTCAACCCTGTTTGGTAGAGAGTTTTATAGAATCGAATTTGCGAATAATAATAATTTTTTTTTTTTAAAGAATATGTGGTTAAAAAGTAGAAAAAGTTTATAAATTTACATGTAAAATTATTTTATTAAAATAACGTAGGACAACTAGAGGGATTATCACTTTTCAAATGTTTCACTTGAAATTTACCCCTCTATTCTATTTTTAAATGGTTATATTATCATTTTTAAACTTTATATTTTTCTTTTCTTATTTCTTAAGATATACTTTTCATTTATATGAAACGATTTTATTTAAAAAATACCATTATGAATCTTAGCATAAAATTGAAAAAATTATTACATAAGATTTTTTTTGTCAAATATGATTGACAAATAATTAAAAAATAAAAATAAACAAATATTATAGAATAATTTAATAAAGCTAGTTGAAAATCTCAATACCATTATAAATATTGTTATAGAATTAATAATATTATTAAATACGACTGACAAATAATTAACAATTCGATATAAAATAATATTTTAGAATTATTTATTAAAATAATTGGAAAATTCATTAATATAAAATATAACGAACTAAAACATGCGTTTATCTATTTTTTATTTTATTTTACTCTATTTATATTTATACTATACTAAAGTTTAAAGTAATGTTATCATAATATTTAAAATGCAAAAAAGTTGGCATCAGAGATTTTTGTTGCGCCTTACTATCGAAGCTCCAAGTGTAACCCATGTGGCACCCCACGTGGAACTTATTCAAGGAAGAACAGCCAAAGTCACCAACGTTTGACCAAAGTCAAAGAGATTGGTGCCCAACTTCCGAAGCCCAAAAGTTGAAGCATTGAAGCTTAATCCAAAGCTTACACCTGAAATGGATCTCCTATAGATAAAATCTTATTCGAATAATTGATTTGACCTGTGTAACAAGAAATATGTCAAATCTTTTTTTTTAATACCCAGGTGTCCCAACTTTGCTAAACTAATTCCTGAACCTCCAAGACCCTTGCCCCTAAAACCTTGGAGGAGGTAAATCGCGAAATATGTCTCAAATGGTTCACAGGTTCCTCTCACCAACTGTGCACTTCTGAGCACAAGGAATCATTCTCCAAAGTGATTGCTCCATATAGGGCTGGGCAAAATGTCCGAACCGAACCGAACCGAACCGCACCGCCCCGAACGGGTTTTCCTTAATTTANATATTTTATATTGCTTGATTTTGTAAAGAGATTGGTGCCCAACTTCCGAAGCCCAAAAGTTGAAGCATCGAAGCTCAATCCAAAGCTTACACCTGAAATGGATCTCCTATAGATAAAATCTTATTCGAATAATTGATTTGACCTTTGTAATGAGACATATGTCAAATCTTTTTTTTTGATACCCAAGTGTCCCAACTTTGCCAAATTAATTCCTAAACCTTTAAGACCTTTGCCCCTAGAACCTCGGAGGAGGTAAATCGCGGAATATGTCTCAACTGGTTCCCAAGTTTTCCTCACCAACTGTGCACTTCTGCGCACAAGGGATCATCCTCCAAAGTGATTGCTCCATACCAAGTAAATTTGGCCGCAGGTTCCCAATAGGATTTGAACCCCCTACCCTGCCGCTAGAAGCGAGTTACGTGCTGATTGTTCCTCCAGTTAAGCTGTGCCTCGAGGGGCGAAATATGTCAAATCTTGTCCGCACAGGATGTAGGGTGGTCGCCTCTTTAGGGACATTAAATACACTACGGGCTAGGAGTGTCGAAGTGATGCCTAAGATGTGACGCTTCAATTGAGTAGATGAAGCCACATATTATCTCATCCAACGAGCACCACTTCTTTTGTAACACTATAAATAATCCCCTTTTTTATCATTTTGAAAGCTAATGCAATTGTAATTACTTGAAGATATAGTTCATCTTCCTCTTGTATTACCCTAAATTGCATGAGTTGGATGCTTAGCTTTAAATTGGATTTGTATGTTTTGGATTGTTCTTTATTATGCTTTGCCCGTGCCCGAACATTTTTGATTCGTGTTATAAATCTTCTCCCACGCACAAACCAAAACTTTGTCTACTAGTGATCCGTCAAAACGTGTTGAAATTAACTTGCATTGACGCAACGGTAGCCCAATATCTATTGTCCACATATGCATATAAGAATCAAGGCCAACAATTTAGTCCCATGTTTGGTTTGAATTAAAATCCGATTAAAATTTCAAATCAAAGTCAACAATTATTTTTAACCACACATTTCATATGACCCACAACTTTTCAACCATACATTTTATTAACTTTTATCAAAATTTACTAAAAGTCCGATTTTAATTTCTACCAATAGGGGCTTTTCTAGGAAAACATGTCTACCTTAAGATACCAACAACTAATGTTAGGGTCTGTTTGGTAGGAATTCTCATTTTCTACAGTAAATCACTTCTCATTTTCAACCACACATTCTTCAATGAAATAATATTTTACATCACGTCAATAATTTTTTCTTCTTTTTCAACCACACATTTCTCATCATATCACCATTCAAAATCAATTCTTCCTCCAAAAAATCCATACCAAACAAGTTCTTAGTTGGTAAGATGTAATTGTATAAAAAAGTTGACCATGTTCAAAGCAATCTATCGATGAAGTGTCATGTGATATTTTATCAATGATTGCGTCAAGAATTATGTAAGTGTAGTATTATTCCAACTAAAATGAGTAGTGTGTTTGTGGGTCCCTGTAAACACACACTGAAGATTGCTATAATCTTAACTATCACAAGAAAGCCATACAACTCTTACCAAATACGTAACTATTTACTTGCTCTACGCAATATTTCAGAAATTCTTTTATATTTGGAGAATTCTGGCTCAGTCTTTCTCTGCTGGTGGCACATGCACATGCACATGCACATGCACATGCACATGCACATGCACATGCAAGAGTGCTTTATTGGAGTAAGAATTTACAAGTATTATCTAAGTATTCATCAATCATTTTTATATATTTATAAATTATTAAACCAACTAAGGCTAAACAGGGGCGGACGCAGAACTTTAACGTTGGGGGCACAATTGAACTTGCAAAAAAGTTGGTAAAAATTTTACAATCGAAAATTTACGTCCAAAAAAATCATACTCCATGTAATTTTACATCCAAAA